GACATGTTAATAGGATCAACATTCAGGTTTTGAGTTACATAATTAACATGAGCTTCTATGTCATCAGTGTCCAAGTTGAGTTCACTTGTATCGGAGCCATCAAAAGAACGGGACAAAGTATCCGCTATGAAAAGTTCTTTGCCACGTTTATACACTAAATTAATGTCATACTGCTGCAATTTTATTAACATCCGCTGTAGCCTAGGGGGACACGAATCAAGATTCTTCTTGAAAATTGCTACCAGTGGTTTATGGTCCGTTTCCACAGTGATGGTTGATCCAAATATGTACTGATGAAAACGTTCGCAGCCAAACACCACGGCTAGGAGTTCCTTTTCAATTTGGGAGTAACGTCTCTGCGTTTCATTTAACGCTTTGCTGGCATAGGCTACAGGCAGATTGTCTTGTAGCAGTGCACTACCTAAACCATTTTGAGAGCTATCTACAGTCAGTACAATAGGCTTGTTTACATCAAAGAACTGTAAAACAGGTCTGTTTGTTAACAATGATTTAAGTTTTTCAAAAGCGTTTTGTTGTTCATGTTGCCAACTAAAAATACAATCTTTTTTTAAAATAGAACGTAGAGGTGTAGTGTGCTCGGATAGGTTAGGTATGTACCTATTTACATGTCACAAGACCTAAAAATCGTTCCAAAGACTTGCGGTCTGTTGGAGGTTCCATACAGGTTATTGCTCTGATTTTACTTTCATCAATGTCAATGCCATTTTGTGTAAATTTATGCCCAAGATACTTAATTTCTGTTGTGCCTATTTTACATTTCTCTTTATTTAGCTTAATATTTTCAACTCTCATTTTGTCTAAAACTAACTTTAGTCTCGCATCGTGTTCCGCTTTTGTACGACCCCACAAAATAATATCATCAACGTAAACCTCGACCCCTTCAAATTCATCAAAGATTTGTCTAATTTTTTGCTGGAACACTTCACTAGCAGAGCATATACCGTATGGCAACCTCAGAAATTTCTAGCGACCAAAGGGGGTATTGAATGTGCATAGATCCGATGACTTGGCGGTTAACTTCACATGCCAAAACCCATTTTTACTGTCAAGAGTACTGAAAAACTTAGCTCCAGCCATTTTGGCGGAAATTTCTTCAAAAGACGGAATTTGGAAATGAGGCCGCATTATTGCAGCGTTAAGATCTTTCGGATCTAGGCACAGTCGCATATCTCCATTGTTCTTAGCAACTATGACTAACGATTGAACCCATTCTGTAGGCTTAACTACTTTCTCAATTATTTTATGTTTGACCGAATTGTCTAGTTTCTTTTTTAATTTAGGTTTTAATGCAAGTGGAACTTTTCTACATGCATGAATAACTGGAAGAGTACCTTCCTTTAACTGAATTTCATGTTCACCTTTTATACATCCAACACCAGACATCAAGTCTGGGTAATTATCAAGAATACAATGAGAAGACTCAGGACCTTCATTTAAGCCATTATTACCTTTTACATTGTCAACCCTTTTTATGAGGTTCAGTTTGACACAATCAGACAACCCCAAAATGCAAGGCGATTTACTATTTACAACAAAAAACTCTACACTATGTACTTCATCTTTGTGTTTAACATCAAGGGAGCATTTACCTACAGTGTCTAAGCCTTGACCTGTGTAAGAGGTTAGCCTAGCTTTGGTTGGCTGAAGTTGTACATTTAGGTTAAGATCATCAAAAACTTTCTTACTTAATATGGAAATATCAGCACCTGAATCAAGCTTAAAACGAGCTATACAGATCCCTAATATCAGTTACAAAAGAGTCTATATTTTCATCAAGGTATTGCTCACGCAAAAACAAAATATGACGTTCATAAGTTACGTTTTTAGTGGGTATAAAATAATTATCAAACTTAGATATTACAATCTCTAACTTGTGCTTGTCTTCTCCTGTTGAATACTGAAAATTGTTGTAGATTTTCAGAGCACGATCACCAATGACTGACAGTAAAAGAGCGATTTGATAATCACTAGTCTCTTTTTCACTTTTGCTAGCAACCATGTAGATTTTAAATTTTTGTTTGAAAAACGACCAATTTTCTGACATATTACCTGACCATGTCAATTCTGATGGTGGGCGTATTGAAGGTGTAGTCGAACTTTGCACGACGATGGACGTTTTTTCCTCCTCTTCTCCTGCTTTCGGCATGATTATAAAGCTTCAACGTCTTGTCTCAATAATTCAAAATAACTGTATTAAATTCAAACATACTTTTAAGACTCACATAGTTAAATTTTACCGACTGCGCCATGTGATATGGATCGCAGGTCGAGGTTCGTTAAATGATAAACATGTTAACGTTGGCATGGGTTTATTAAAAGTGACCGAGCACTCAATCTAGGTCTAACGGTACAGTTCAAACTCAGTACAGTCCAAGTACAACAACAATAGTACAGTCTGGGCGAATGATATAAAACTAACATGATATATATATAAAAGAACATATTATGACATATATATAAATTTGAGCGAAAGAGTGTTTTTGGCCTCTGGGGACATCAAAATGATGTAAATCTGTCCCGGGCCTAGGTCTTACCATGAGACCTACAGTAATAGCTACTTCCCTATAGAGAAATCGCTAATAGTCACTAAGGTTACTGAAACGTTATTTACAAGTTATTTCAACATGTAGGCCTATTATGTAAGTTAAAATTTTACATGAATAAAATATTTATGTTACAATACAAAATAATAAAACTCAACTATGTTGAAATTGATTTATTAATTTTGTTGACTTATTGTCTTTTTTCAATGTAACGCAAATACTAACAAGCATAGCCACAAGTGCTACGGGAATTCAGTTAACTTCAAAATCGAGTATTATTATTACATGCCATAATAATGATGTAAAGAATGTGTCTTGCTAGTAGCTTATAGAAGCTCAGGTTTAAATTAACAAAACTTATATTTTGTTCGCTTAGACTATAGGTAACACTAAAACAAGATCGTATAACAAGTTTTTTTTATTGGGCAAAAAATTCAATTCTTAAAGATAAAAACCACGTTTTCCGGCGCCAGTTTGAAACAGCTTTGATATGGCTAATATCTGGTAAATTTATGAGTAGCATTATAACGAGGTTTCATACTAAATTTCAAAATATTTGAACAAAAACGCATAGTTTATAGCTTAATTACCATGTTTTAAATTAATCGATTTATTTATTAATATGGACACTTATTATCTCAAATTCTAGAAGTTGCCCAAAGGTACTTTGTAAGTACCCGCTATTTTCTGCATCTATATACTACCAAAATAAAATATCATCAGTAAAAAAACGTAATAGAACAAAACAGGGCTCAAGAAAAATTCCCTGTTTAGTTGCCGGACTATTCCCAATTTACAAATCAACAAATTACAAGAAAAATTATTGATTTATTAATGATCTGTACCTATAATTTTTTGAAACCCAATAATGAATATTTTCCATGATAGCCAGTACGTTACCGACTGTTTTCATATAAATACATAATAATCACTAACATAACATACAATCACAACAAACATAATAACAATAGCGACATAACATAACAACATAACATAACATAACATAACATAACAATAGCAAACATAACATAATAATCACTAAAGATATCGGGCTTTGATGAGCCTTTTTTATAATTAAAATTACTCTTTTTGGGGGGGTCCATAACTAGCCACATCCTATGATTTGAGTTATAATTAGCGTAAATGAAACCCGTTGGTTTATTGAGTATTTTGATACCAAAAACAGTAGAAAAGAACTACAGAATATTCTTAGGAAGAATTATATAAATTATTTTCATTTATTAGATACCCCTCTTTGTCACAGAAAAAATAAATAAAAGTTATTTTTTACACATTGTTGTGACGTTATCATTGATCCAACAAAGATTCCTATAGGTGCATTGGATGCACAATTTTAAGATCTACAACTTTTGTAACATGTATCATGGCATTTTTTCAGAGATTTTAGCACAAAGTTGAAAAAAGTAGGGATGGAACATATTTTTTTATCTAAATGATCAATTTAAAAAAGAAATACTGCCTTTAAAACACACAATATATAGTTAAAATATGATATTTTCCTGCATAGAATTGCACTGTGAGTAATTTAAAAGTGTTTGCACTGCTGTAGGTAGCATGGTATTTTCATAACATAGTTGTAAGTAAAAGCTTACACTCTAAATTACGTTTTCCGCCATTTTCCAAGATGGCGGCTATTGCCCAAGGGTACCAAAAAAGTACCAGGTGGTTTTATGGTCTACATACCCTATATAACTCAAAACAACAATAAAAAAAAAACTTAATAGGACAAAACCAGGTTAGGGACAAAATCCTCATTTGGCTGCCGGACTATTACTCACGGAACCTGACATCTTCTATAGGCAAACATGTTTCTTTAAAACCTGTATTCTTAGCTCTTGTATATCACAGGGGAAATCTACGCGGTAGAAATATATTTTCCTGTAGATGTGCAAAACTCCTTTATAAATTAAAATAGGCTCAAAAATAAGCAAAAAAATGAATAAAGTTCTAAAAAAAATACATGGGCCTTATGGGTTGCCATTCTGGTGACGAAATAACGACTAAATATAAAGAGAAGATCAAAATAAATGGAAGATATTCCAATAACATGTTTTATTTACAGTGAAGGGTGAAAATAGAGAAGTCTGTACATGACATATTTTTGGTCGAGTTTTCGACCACTGGACGACCTCTAGTCTGATTTAATATACTCGAGTCCAACTAACTTCTGTTGTGTCACAAAATATGTGAAATTTCCCCACCTTTTAGTGGATTCAGCTAATTTAACTCAACCGACTTGCTACTAAAAATAGTCAACATTATTAAACTTTGATAATAAATTAAAATAAAGAATTGTTGATTTAATTTCAATTTGCCAAACAGATTTTCACAGTAATAGAGTATTGTAGGTAATGCATGTATTTCCGATATCTCATTTATTGTTCCATTTTCCATTAAACGTTTTGTGGTTTTCAGGTCAATGAAGTATTGCTGTAATGGACCAATGGGAGAAACGCCTTGAATCTCACTGTTTTATAAAAGGTGTAAAATTGTCAATCATATTTAAACTAATTGTTATTATTATTGGAGAAAAGTATGCCACGTATCATACCAATAATGTGGTATATTGTAGAATAAACTGTAGCGTTTGCCATGAAAAAAACACTTATAAAAAAAATTTGTTACTCAATGTACACATGCAAATGATTACTGAAAGTAGGCCTTGCTTTGGGTAATAATAATAGTAATTGCAATTAATACGAGCCTTTAATTGAAATCATTGAAAGTTTGATTTAAATTTAAAAAGTGAAATTTACCTGTGCTAGCATTTATTCAATCTAGTTTTTATCTAGCACTTTTATTGCTTAAATGATTTTCAGTCAAATGATCTCCACAAAAAAGATTATATCTAGCGGAATGCTGCAAATATGAGTTGTATACGAAAGTTTTCCGAAGTTCCTATATACCAATGGATCTGTGATAATGAAAGTCAGTGTGGTGTTTATCCAAATCCAGTAATTATTCAGTTTAAAACAAAACAGGACATACAATAAGTTTATATTATTTTAATAAGAGTAAAAGTAGAATTACAATATGTACATCATATTCTATTTTTCTGTTCTACATGTCGTATCAAAGTACAGTGCTTTAAATTGTTTTTCTTTACGTAATAATAGAAATAATATGAACGTCAATTGAACATAATGTACATTATCGGTTGGGTAAGGAAAGGACCATGATTTTTATGTAGCTTGGTTAGTCAAACCATAGACAAAACAATAAATATAGACCGACAGCAGTGCTGCGGTTAGCTTAAGTTCTGGCGACCACCGCTAGGAGTGCCGTGTAGTTACGGCGCACACCGCTGCAGCTTCTGCTGGTAAAAAATTCTAACTGTTTATATAATATTCCTCACTGCCATCAGTAATAATGTAAATATTAATTATTTATAAATTTACGCAACAAATTAAATAACATTTTATGTTTTTTTTGTTTGAAGTTCATTGTTGGTGATGGCGAGTTAATGTTGTTCAAAGGTTTATTGCGGACATTTTCCATCACGAAAGTAAAAAACATTTTTTTTTTTTACTTTCGTGATGGAAAATGTCCGCAATAAACCTTTGAACAACATTTTATGTTTTACTGCTAAGATGAGTAGTAGGCTGTTAGTATATTGTATGAGTAAAATAAGTAGTTTTAATTTTGCGCATTGTCTAAACTGTACCATGTCATTAAAAGTGTCAACATGTTAGTAAAGGTTTCATCAGCTTAAAAATAAACTAGTTTGCTGTGTCTTCTTTACCCTTAAATGTTTACAAAATTAGTCTATTATCTAAATCAACTCTCTTTTAAAGTTGTATTGAATGTGTGAATTGGGATCAATTTATATACTGGTAATTTAAATTACTTAAGTAAACGATTAAAGTTACCTGTATGTATGGCAGATGTAATTTACTTATAAATGCAATGGTAAAATAATTAATATCGTTAATTATTAGGTAGGCTTTTTCTGTGCCATTTAAAATTATTAAAAACTATGTTTATTTGTATTCATAGTTCTTTATAAAAAGTGCACTACTCATATTTAATGTGGTAAACTCATATACTATAATGTAACATTAGATTAGTTAATACCCATATTTTTGGTTTATAATTTAAATATATAAATTTAAATATTTACGCATTTACCTTAGCTCGACACACATAATGAAATACAAACAATACTGGTATTTAAACAATTATATCTAAAAATGACGGACTTTAAACCTTGAGATCTAAAAAATTGTACAATCTGCACAAAAATCTGTATGAAGACTGATTTTATATTATTTACAAGAAGCATGCAGAATTTTTTAATGATAATAAGAAATTGATTACCAATCAAATAGGTTATGTTTTACACATTTACACACTTCTGCCAAATTCCAAAAACATTTTAAGAAAATATCCAAATGAATATAAAACCGACGATAAATTACGATCCTTGTATTGGTTAGAGGTGTAAGCCAGAATACTCAGCCTAAATTAACATTGATTAAAACCACAGTTTGATAAAATCTGTGTTCAATATAGACAGGGAAGGCGGTTTGGTACCACAGTTTGTGGCAAGCTGCGCCTGCTGAATTAAACAGGCGTTTGCGGCAACCGCGCACATGTGCTGTGAACACTGTAACTCGCTCATGGAGAATACTGAACTGACACAGGCAATGGAAGTGCTTTAGCTAAATTGCAACCACTCTGAATTGAAATTGGAGTTTTAAAATAAGTTTATGTAGTGTACACATTTGTGTATGTGTGTAAACATATTTCAGAATGTGTTTGGAGAAGGTCAACTTAAGAACTCGTTCTAGACTCTTCGATTGAAATGGAATGTTGGTTTTCTTAGTGAAAAAATGTTGAAAAATGTAACATTAGTTCATGCCAATTTCCTAGGAAAATATGTTTGGCTTGTATACGGTTTGAAATAAACTATTATTTTATCTTCACTACAAGTAGGTTTACATTTTAATTATTTGTGTCTTAATTTTGTAGATGCATTTTTATGAGGCTCAAAAACTGAACATATGGGTGTTTAGTAACTAAATAGAGACTACCAAGAGAACATTTTAAAACCACTATTTTGTAGAAAAGGAATTTTTGAAATCTTAATAATGTGAAGTATTGTAGTTAGCTGAGTAATTTGTACAAAAGCAAAGATTATACGCTGCAGTGTCGATCGATGGATATTCAACTCTCCAAAGATTCTACAAGAAAAGTACAAATAAAATCCCCAAAGAAGCTTCAAGTAACACACCATACTGTAGTGTTTAAACGAAAATGTGCTGTACCTACATTTTATGTTATATTACCTACCAACTCTATTCACCACCACTCATTTAAAACAAAAATACTTACATTATACATCCGGGTGTAAAAAATATTAGAAGAAAATGTAACATAAACACAATTCTCTCGTACATATCAAAACGATAATCGGTCCACAGAGATTTAACCGTAATGAGTTACAGTAGCAAAACATTTAAATTAAACGAGTAAATCAAATGGTGGTATGGTTGGTGTGAAATTTAATCAAACAAGTTTGTGGCTAGAATCGTCCATGTGTAGAACTAACTGCGGCGCAGAACTCACACACTCACCCTACATTGGCACGTGTGTCTTTGTTGTGGATTTACACATTTTTGCACTGGAAACACGTTTATTGAACACTACTATATAGTATAAAAAATCGTAGCTCTTATTTCGTGTTATTATTAGTATTAGTATTGTTAGGTGTAGTATTCTTAGTGTTGGTATAAACTAGTTTTACTCATGAAAAACTAAATGTCGCAAATTAGTACTGATAAAAATGTTTGTTAACGTCAGGATCACCTTCTCTGTCAGAGCTCGGTAATATACCCTACAAATAAACGGTGGACAGCTTGGTCAGAAGTTGTATGGGCAGTGGACCCTAGTGTGTTTCAGTTCCAGATCAGATTATAAATTGTCTACGTTTAACTTATTTTTTACCACGTGTCTCATCCAAATAGTACTTCTGTAAGAATTTGGATTTCTGTAACCATATAAGAGAAACATAATCGATATAATCATAGAAAAATACTGGAAAAATGTTAGGATACATTGAGTGCATGATTCTTAGAGAAATCCATGCATTTTTGGGGTCAAATAAAATTAGGTTTTACAAGTACCTAGGTTCGCTGCTACAGGGAGAATATTAAAGTGTGATTTTTTGTAAAATATGAATAGTTTAGTATATATAAAAAATAAATGTACCAAGTTTTATCTAAATATCGTCAATCTGCCATTTTGAATCTTTGAACAGCTGCCATTTTTACTCATTTATTTGTTCTTTTGAGTAAGAATTTGCGGAATTGTATTCTACTGATAAAGACCTTTAATTTGATGCGCATTTCAACCTGTGCTAACGTTTAAGATTTTTATTTTGATTTCTAGCGGGTTCTTTTGACTTTATCTTTGAAACTCGGTTTTCGGGCTTGTGGCATTGTATTTTACTAACAAAAACCTATTTTGATGAACATACCAACATAAACTTACTTTTAAAAATTTCTTAGCGTGCCTCCCTGAGCAGGTAGCGTATGACTGAATAATATTTTTAAATGATTTTATGTCCAGTAACTTTGTACAGAGTTCTATATGTTTTATTTTTTGAAAATCAAACCATCCTGAGACTTAATTAGACCCTGTATACGTAAATTAAAGTGCAAAATGAATAGTAACGATGTTGTAGCAATACACCTATGGCAGTAATGAGAAGAAATTACACTCAAACACCAATCATGAGTTCAATTACTACTTATGAAACATGAATACAATCACTACTACAACGAGCTATTGTGGTTACCTTAACTGGGTAATTGATCATGGTGTAATTACCTGAAAATAAAAGCAAACAATTAGTTCATCAATGCACAAAAAATAAAAATAAATGTATAATATTGGTGACAGGTTGTCTTACTGATATTCACCTTATAAGTTCAGAGACTACAGTAATTAACTTTTGAGATTTGTAGTTTTTAATCGGTATTTAACAATAATAGAAAAATTATAAGTTATTGTGTAATTGAGTCTAGTACTTTTAATTCATAACTTATTCAATCGGTTAACATAATAAATTTTACAAGCGTGTATTTACCCGTTAAAAATCATAATATTTAATTCGTCAAAAATTAAATTGATTTATATATTTTATTAAATTTATTTAGTCCTTCTCGTTTTAAATACAAAAATATTGTATTTATCAATCGACGTGTGAATAATTACTAAATAAATCATGTAAAGCAAGAAATAGGAAAGTTGTCAAAACTAAAGGGACTTAACAATATGTTCACTCTCATGCATAAATGGCTGTAGATTTGCAAATAAGCAATTGTATAAGTAAGAAGAGAGAAAACAGGCGTCCCTTTTTGCAGGTCTCGTAACAGAGTCAGACCACAGTGTTGAATAACTAACATTTCTGCCACGAGTCGGACATTGCGTGGGAGATGATACAACCTGCGTCATTGGGTAAATATCATTACTACAACTAGGAGGTGTTTGTTATGATTACATTAATAGAATTATGAAAATGTGTATTAGCTAAGTATGGGAAATGTATTATAAAACAAGCTGTTTATTTTGCTTGATAGTAATATTATATCCAACGAAAGTTCGTCAATAAGGTTAGTCAAATTCGAGCATTCGGCAAACGAGTGATATTTCAAATAAATCTAATTAATGACACAGATTAATTAATGATATATTTTGTTTGTAAATTTAATTAGGGCTATGTGTTGTGATTGCCAGTGATACAATTATACTGGTTACATTATTAGTTCCTGTAAAAGTGAGTGTTTGCTTAAGGCGTAAAGTACACTGAAAGATCCATTTAAATAAATTTGTGTGATGAGGAAATTGAGCTTTTTTAATTAAAAAAATAAGTCGGTGGCCTCTTTTACCTTTATGCCCGTTCACTTGGACCACAGAGGCCTGTGTGTGGACCTTATTCAGCAAAGCAAGTGTAAGCCGTTACAGTACAAGATGCACAGCACTGATGAAAAGTAGTGGCAGGTACACCATGAATTGAACCGACGACATCACTGCCTTGAGCCTGCAATCCATGACGCTACCAACTAAGCTACCGACTCACCAACAATTAAAGAGACAGTCTTATGCAAGAACTTTACTGTAGAGCAAAGGGAGCGAGCTGGTCTAATGGTAGAGCGTGGATTTTCGTCCCGAGGTCCAGGGTTCAAATCCCACCTGTCCCCAAATACTTTAAGCTAAGATAAAATTCAACTAGGCATATCCAGAAACGGTGTGAAATAGTACCACGCTAGAGCCTTCCTTGGATGTGAATGTTGGATATAAAAACCTCCGGTTGAATGTATGTATAAAAATCTTACCACGTTATCGACTATACGATATTAAACAAATTTAACAGTCTATTTAACACCACAATTTCGAATACATAGAATCAATGTTACTATGGTGTCTACAAGTTGGGAAGTGAGGCTTATCTCTGGTGCCAACTGAGCCGTGGATTCCACCTCAATAATTCAGTCGCCATCATATGATCCTCAGATAACAACACTGTGTTGGTGAAACAGCACGGATTGAGCAGGGCTTCGATCTTGTTACTATTTTTTTGTCAAACCGTTGCGTGTTCCTAAAGGAAGAAAATGTAACACCAAAATCATTCAGGGTTTGTACAAACATAATTCACAAACATATGTTAAGACTCACCAAACTTCTTTGTTAATCCATTTTGGATAGTATTATATTGTTAACTAGCTGTAAC